CCATAGTAGACGGTTGTGGGCTTGAATCTCCCAAAATAGTCTTTATTAAGGTAGTTTTAAAAGCTTTATCGCCGATGTTGTTCCCATTTACAATTGCACAAAATAATTCTTAACATAAAAGATAACGATTATACCACACACGTGAACAAATGAACACGTAAAATATTGATGGAGATAAATGTGAAAATTTTCAATTTATCGTGATATTGTAAAAGATGATCATCAGGTGTTGCAACAATGTCATCATACGTTTTCGTAATAGATTATAGTTCAAAACTACAATATGTTCATTTAGATACTCTAATCATTTATGATATGAAAAATCAACTCACATATGACAAGAAGGCTAAGAAAAAAGAACGAAAACAAAAATTGCTTATTCCCTAACATCTTCATATGAGAGGACATTTCAATAATTGTTTAGTGAATATATTTATATTAACTTTACTAGAAGTGACTGCAATGTATACTCAACTCAAATAAGCATTTTGAAAATTATGTCTAACTAAGTATCCTTCATAATTAAAACATATTTATAGTCTAATTAAATTCATATTTTTCTATTTATTTGATAGTAATTGAGGTTTTTTTTAATTCATTTTATTTTGGCTTTTAAAGTTTAACTTTCTTTTCAAGTAGTTAATGCATGTGAAAGGAACAATGTCGCTAAGATCCCATTTCATAAGTACTTATTTTGACTTTTTTTTTGTCATTTTAGTACATATTAGAGGATAACAATCTATGTAATTATTTAAAATATGTCACTCTAATACGTATCTATTTAAAAATGTTATGGACGTGCTCGGGGATGAGATTTCTTGGATTTGTAAAGGTTTTATATTTATAAAAGAGAACTTTAATAAAAATTATACTAGGTTCGAATGTACAAGCTCTTATATTTTATTTTAAATAAAAAGCACATAATCAGAAACCTACTACAAATACATTTTCCTTATCCGAGCTTTTAGATGCATTTTTCATTTCATTCTATGCGTTTAATAGCTAAGATATATGTTTTCTGACACTTCTTTAAACAAAATTTTATACTTTCTTGATTATATCCGCCAAATACATGTCCTCAAGTCACATACACACATGTACATGTTAGGAAAATATAATAGAAATATTAGTAGCTTAATACTTTGTTGTTGCATTGGTTTATGTATTTTTAAACAAAATTTAAAATATTGGGAGATACATTTATCATTCATTGTTTTGTATTTTGTTCTTTTTTTGTATAATATGATAGCTTTCAAATTGTCTTCTTTAGCATCTATATATTTTTCTATAGACTATAAATCAGTTTTTAATTTTACTTATTAACTGTTACAAAACTTATTTTCACTTTAATCATCATATCATTCAATTTCATTGTAAGTCTTTTTAGAAAAAAATAAAATATTTATCTATTATTCAAAACCTTCAATTACATATTTTAAGAAAACAAATATTATTCGATACAAAATAAGGGTTATGTGCAATTTAGAACATATGAATTCAATTTTTTTTGACATATCGTAAGCACAAAACCATTGAATTTTGTTTTTAAAATGAGTAACTTACATATAAAAAAATCGATCTACTCATGTTTTAAGAACATATAGTATTACACAAACTAAGTCCTCTTATGCATATATTCATATTTGGACCAATACAACAATAACAAGCTCCATCTGTTCCTTTACAATGTGATGATGGAAGTGGTACACATACACCTCTTAACTTGGCATCATGATGAGGATTATCATACTCCATAGTAGACGGTTGTGGGCTTGCATCCCCCAAAATAGTCTTTATTAAGGTAGTTTTAAAAGCCTTATCGCCAATGTTGTTCCCATTTACAAGTGCACAAAAGAATTCATAACATAAAATATAACGATTATACCACACACGTGAACAAATTAACATGTAAAATATTAATGGAGATAAATGTTAAAATTTTCAATTTATCGTGATATTGTAAAAGATGATCATTAGGCATTGCAACTATGTCATCAAGCTTGTTCGTAATAGATTATTGTTCTAAACTACAATATGTTCATTTAGATACTCTAATCATTCACATATGACGAGAAGGCTAAGAAAAAAGAACGATAACAAAAATTGCTTATTCCCTAACATCTTCATATGAGAGGACATTTCAATAATTGTTAAGTGAATGTATTTATACTAACTTTACTAGAAGTGACTGCAATCTATACTCAGCTCAAATAAGCGTTTTGAAAATTATGCCTAACTAAGTATCCTTCATAATTACAACACATTTATAGTCTAATTAAATTCATATGTTTCTGTTTATTTGATAGTAATTGAGTTTTTTTTTAATTTATTTTATTTTTGCTTTTAAATTTTAACTTTCTTTTCAAGTAGTTAATGCATGTGAAAGGAACAATGTCAATAAGATCCCATTTCATAAGTACTTATTTTGACTCTTTTTTTGTCATTTTAATATATTAGAGGATAACAATGTATGTAATTATTTAAAATAGGTCACTGTAATAGGTATCTATTTCAAAATGTTATGGACGAGCTCGGAGATAAGATTTCTTGGATTTTTAAAGGTTTTATATTTATAAAAGAAAACATGAATAAAAAATATTCTAGGTTCGAATGTACAAGATCTTAAATTTTATTTTAAATAAAAAGCACATAATCAGAAACCTACTACAAATACATTTTTCCTTATCCGAGCTTTTGGATGCATTTTTAATTTCATTCTATGCCTTTAATAGCTAAGATATATGTTTTCTGACACTTATTTAAACAAAATTTTATACTTTCTTGATTATATCCGCCAATACATGTCCTCAAGTCACCTACACACATGTACGTGTTAGCAAAATATAATAGAAATATTAGTAGCTTAATACTTTGTTGTTGCATTGGTTTATGTATTTTTAAATAAAATTTAAAATATTGGGAGATACATTTATCATTCATTGTTTTGTATTTTGTTCTTTTTTTGTATAATTTGATAGCTTTCAAATTGTCATCTTTAGCATCCATATATTTTTCTATAGACTATATATATCAGTTTTTAATTTTACTTATTAACTGTTACAAAACTTATTTTAACTTTAATCATCATATCATTCAATTTCATTGTAAGTCTTTTTAGAAAAAAATAAAATATTTATCTATTATTCATAACCTTCAATTACATATTTTAAGAAAACAAATATTATTCGATACAAAATAAGGATTATGTGCAATTTAGAACATATGAATTCAAATTTTTTTTTGACATATCGTAAGCATAAAACCATTGAATTTTATTTTTAAAATGAGTAACTTACATATAAAAAAATCGATCTACTCATGTTTTAAGAACATATAGTATTACACAAACTAAGTCCTCTTATGCATATATTCATATTTTGACCAATACAACAATAACAAGATCCATCTGTCCCTCTACAATGTGATGATGGAAGTGGTACACAAACACCTGTTAACTTGGCATCATGATGAGGATTATCATACTCCAGAGTAGATGGTTGTGGGCTTGCATCCCCTAAAATAGTCTTTATTAAGGTAGTTTTAAAAGCTTTATCGCCAATGTTGTTCCCATTTACAACTGCACAAAAGAATTCATAACATAAAATATAACGATTATACCACACATGTGAACAAATTAACACGTAAAATATTAATGGAGATAAATGTTAAAATTTTCAATTTATCGTGATATTGTAAAAGATGATCATTAGGCGTTGCAATTATGACATCAAGCTTTTTCGTAATAGATTATTGTTCTAAACTACAATATGTTCATTTAGATACTCTAATCATTTATGATATGAAAAATCAACTCACATATGACGAGAAGGCTAAGAAAAAAGAACGAAAACAAAAAATTGCTTATTCCCTAAGATCTTCATTACAACATATTTATAGTCTAATTAAATTCATATGTTTCTGTTTATTTGATAGTAATTGAGTTTTTTTTTTTAATTTATTTTATTTTTGCTTTTAAATTTTAACTTTCTTTTCAAGTAGTTAATGCATGTGAAAGGAACAATGTCAATAAGATCCCATTTCATAAGTACTTATTTTGACTCTTTTTTTGTCATTTTAATATATTAGAGGATAACAATGTATGTAATTATTTAAAATAGGTCACTGTAATAGGTATCTATTTCAAAATGTTATGGACGAGCTCGGAGATAAGATTTCTTGGATTTTTAAAGGTTTTATATTTATAAAAGAAAACATGAATAAAAAATATTCTAGGTTCGAATGTACAAGATCTTAAATTTTATTTTAAATAAAAAGCACATAATCAGAAACCTACTACAAATACATTTTTCCTTATCCGAGCTTTTGGATGCATTTTTAATTTCATTCTATGCCTTTAATAGCTAAGATATATGTTTTCTGACACTTATTTAAACAAAATTTTATACTTTCTTGATTATATCCGCCAATACATGTCCTCAAGTCACCTACACACATGTACGTGTTAGCAAAATATAATAGAAATATTAGTAGCTTAATACTTTGTTGTTGCATTGGTTTATGTATTTTTAAATAAAATTTAAAATATTGGGAGATACATTTATCATTCATTGTTTTGTATTTTGTTCTTTTTTTGTATAATTTGATAGCTTTCAAATTGTCATCTTTAGCATCCATATATTTTTCTATAGACTATATATATCAGTTTTTAATTTTACTTATTAACTGTTACAAAACTTATTTTAACTTTAATCATCATATCATTCAATTTCATTGTAAGTCTTTTTAGAAAAAAATAAAATATTTATCTATTATTCATAACCTTCAATTACATATTTTAAGAAAACAAATATTATTCGATACAAAATAAGGATTATGTGCAATTTAGAACATATGAATTCAAATTTTTTTTTGACATATCGTAAGCATAAAACCATTGAATTTTATTTTTAAAATGAGTAACTTACATATAAAAAAAATCGATCTACTCATGTTTTAAGAACATATAGTATTACACAAACTAAGTCCTCTTATGCATATATTCATATTTGACCAATACAACAATAACAAGATCCATCTGTCCCTCTACAATGTGATGATGGAAGTGGTACACAAACACCTGTTAACTTGGCATCATGATGAGGATTATCATACTCCAGAGTAGATGGTTGTGGGCTTGCATCCCCTAAAATAGTCTTTATTAAGGTAGTTTTAAAAGCTTTATCGCCAATGTTGTTCCCATTTACAACTGCACAAAAGAATTCATAACATAAAATATAACGATTATACCACACATGTGAACAAATTAACACGTAAAATATTAATGGAGATAAATGTTAAAATTTTCAATTTATCGTGATATTGTAAAAGATGATCATTAGGCGTTGCAATTATGACATCAAGCTTTTTCGTAATAGATTATTGTTCTAAACTACAATATGTTCATTTAGATACTCTAATCATTTATGATATGAAAAATCAACTCACATATGACGAGAAGGCTAAGAAAAAAGATCGAAAACAAAAAATTGCTTATTCCCTAAGATCTTCATTACAACATATTTATAGTCTAATTAAATTCATATGTTTCTGTTTATTTGATAGTAATTGAGTTTTTTTTTTTAATTCATTTTATTTTTGCTTTTAAATTTTAACTTTCTTTTCAAGTACTTAATGCATGTGAAAGGAACAATGTCACTAAGATCCAATTTCATAAGTATTTATTTTGACCTTTTTTTTTGTCATTTTAATATATTAGAGGATAAAAATCTATTTAATTATTTAAAATAGGTCACTCTAATAGGTATCTATTTCAAAATGTTATGGACGAGCTCGGAGATGAGATTTCTTGGATTTGTAGAGGTTTTATATTTATAAAAGAAAACTTGAATAAAAAATATACTAGGTTCGAATGTACAGGCTCTTAAATTTTATTTTAAATAAAAAGCACATAATCAGAAATCTATTACAAATACATATTTTCTTATCCGAGCTTTTAGATGCATTTTTCATTTCATTCTATGCCTTTAATAGCTAAGATATATGTTTTTTGACACTTCTTTAAACAAAACTTTATAGTTTCTTGATTATATCCGCCAAATACATGTCCTCAAGTCACCTACACACATGTACATGTTAGCAAAATATAATAGAAATATTAGTAGCTTAATACTTTGTTGTTGCATTGGTTTATGTATTTTTAAATAAAATTTAAAATATTGGGAGATACATTTATCATTCATTGTTTTGTATTTTGTTCTTTTTTTGTATAATTTGATAGCTTTCAAATTGTCATCTTTAGCATCCATATATTTTTCTATAGACTATATATATCAGTTTTTAATTTTACTTATTAACTGTTACAAAACTTATTTTAACTTTAATCATCATATCATTCAATTTCATTGTAAGTCTTTTTAGAAAAAAATAAAATATTTATCTATTATTCAAAACCTTCAATTACATATTTTAAGAAAACAAATATTATTCGATACAAAATAAGGATTATGTGCAATTTAGAACATATGAATTCAAATTTTTTTTGACATATCGTAAGCATAAAACCATTGAATTTTATTTTTAAAATGAGTAACTTACATATAAAAAAATCGATCTACTCATGTTTTAAGAACATATAGTATTACACAAACTAAGTCCTCTTATGCATATATTCATATTTGGACCAATACAACAATAACAAGATCCATCTGTCCCTCTACAATGTGATGATGGAAGTGGTACACAAACACCTGTTAACTTGGCATCATGATGAGGATTATCATACTCCAGAGTAGATGGTTGTGGGCTTGCATCCCCTAAAATAGTCTTTATTAAGGTAGTTTTAAAAGCTTTATCGCCAATGTTGTTCCCATTTACAACTGCACAAAAGAATTCATAACATAAAATATAACGATTATACCACACATGTGAACAAATTAACACGTAAAATATTAATGGAGATAAATGTTAAAATTTTCAATTTATCGTGATATTGTAAAAGATGATCATTAGGCGTTGCAATTATGACATCAAGCTTTTTCGTAATAGATTATTGTTCTAAACTACAATATGTTCATTTAGATACTCTAATCATTTATGATATGAAAAATCAACTCACATATGACGAGAAGGCTAAGAAAAAAGAACGAAAACAAAAAATTGCTTATTCCCTAAGATCTTCATTACAACATATTTATAGTCTAATTAAATTCATATGTTTCTGTTTATTTGATAGTAATTGAGTTTTTTTTTTTAATTCATTTTATTTTTGCTTTTAAATTTTAACTTTCTTTTCAAGTACTTAATGCATGTGAAAGGAACAATGTCACTAAGATCCAATTTCATAAGTATTTATTTTGACCTTTTTTTTTGTCATTTTAATATATTAGAGGATAAAAATCTATTTAATTATTTAAAATAGGTCACTCTAATAGGTATCTATTTCAAAATGTTATGGACGAGCTCGGAGATGAGATTTCTTGGATTTGTAGAGGTTTTATATTTATAAAAGAAAACTTGAATAAAAAATATACTAGGTTCGAATGTACAGGCTCTTAAATTTTATTTTAAATAAAAAGCACATAATCAGAAATCTATTACAAATACATATTTTCTTATCCGAGCTTTTAGATGCATTTTTCATTTCATTCTATGCCTTTAATAGCTAAGATATATGTTTTCTGACACTTCTTTAAACAAAACTTTATAGTTTCTTGATTATATCCGCCAAATACATGTCCTCAAGTCACCTACACACATGTACATGTTAGCAAAATATAATAGAAATATTAGTAGCTTAATACTTTGTTGTTGCATTGGTTTATGTATTTTAAATAAAATTTAAAATATTGCGAGATACATTTATCATTCATTGTTTTGTATTTTGTTCTTTTTTTGTATAATATGATAGATTTCAAATTGTCTTCTTTAGCATCCATATATTTTTCTATAGACTATATATCAGTTTTTAATTTTACTTATTAATGTTACAAAACTTATTTTAACTTTAATCATCATATCATTCAATTTCTTTGTTAGTCTTTTTAGAAAAAAATAAAATATTTATCTATTATTCAAAACCTTCAATTACATATTTTAAGAAAACAAATATTATTCGATACAAAATAAGGGTTATGTGCAATTTAGAACATATGAATTCAATTTTTTTTGGACATATCGTAAGCACAAAACCATTGAATTTTATTTTTAAAATGAGTAACTTACATATAAAAAAATCGATCTACTCATCTTTTAAGAACATATAGTATTACACAAACTACGTCCTCTTATGCATATATTCATATTTGGACCAATACAACAATAACAAGCTCCATCTGTTCCTTTACAATGTGATGATGGAAGTGGTACACATACACCTCTTAACTTGGCATCATGATGAGGATTATCATACTCCATAGTAGACGGTTGTGGGCTTGCATCCCCCAAAATAGTCTTTCTTAAGGTAGTTTTAAAAGCTTTATCGCCAATGTTGTTCCCATTTACAACTGCACAAAAGAATTCATAACATAAAATATAACGATTATACCACACATGTGAACAAATTAACACATAAAATATTGATGGAGATAAATGTGAAAATTTTCAATTTATCGTGATATTGTAAAAGATGATCATCAGGTGTTGCAACTATGTCGTCAAGCTTTTTTCGTAATAGATTATTGTTCTAAACTACAATATGTTCATTTAGATACTCTAATCATTTATGATATGAAAAATCAACTCACATATGACGAGAAGGCTAAGAAAAAAGAACGAAAAAAAAATTGCTTATTCCCTAACATCTTCATATGAGAGGACATTTCAATAATTGTTAAGTGAATGTATTTATACTAACTTTACTAGAAGTGAGTGCAATGTATACTCAACTCAAATAAGCGTTTTGAAAATTATGCCCAACTAAGTATCCTTGATAATTACAACATATTTATAGTCTAATTAAATTCATATGTTTCTGTTTATTTGATAGTAATTGAGTTTTTTTTTAATTCATTTTATTTTTGCTTTTAAATTTTAACTTTCTTTTCAAGTAATTAATGCATGTGAAAGTAACAATGTCACTAAGATCCCAATTCATAAGTACTTATTTTGACTTTTTTTTTTGTCATTTTATAATATTAGAGGATAACAATCTATGTAATTATATAAAATAGGTCACTCTAATAGGTATCTATTTCAAAATGTTATGGACGAGCTCGGAGATGAGATTTCTTGGATTTGTAAAGGTTTTATATTTATAAAAGAAAACTTGAATAAAAAATATACTAGGTTCGAATGTACAAGCTCTTAAATTTTATTTTAAATAAAAGCAAATAATCAGAAACCTACTACAAATACATTTTTCCTTATCCGAGCTTTTATATGCATTTTTCATTTCATTCTATGCCTTTAATAGCTAAGATATATGTTTTATGACACTTCTTTAAACAAAATTTTAAACCTTTCTTGATTATATCCGCCAAATACATGTCCTCAAGTCACCTACGCACATGTACATGTTAGGAAAGTATAATAGAAATATTAGTAGCTTAATACTTTGTTGTTGCATTGGTTTATGTATTTTTAAATAAAATTTAAAATATTGGGAGATACATTTATCATTCATTGTTTTGTATTTTGTTCTTTTTTTGTATAATATGATAGCTTTCAAATTGTCTTCTTTAGCATCCATATATTTTTCTATACGCTATATATCAGTTTTTAATTTTACTTATTAACTGTTACAAAACTTATTTTAACTTTAATCATCATATCATTCAATTTCTTTGTATGACTTTTTAGAAAAAAATTAAATATTTATCTATTATTCAAAACCTTCAATTACATATTTTAAGAAAACAAATATTATTCGATACAAAATAAGGGTTATGTGCAATTTAGAACATATGAATTCAGTTTTTTTTTGACATATCATAAGCACTAAACTGTTGAATTTTATTTTGAAAATGAGTAACTTACATATAAAAAAATCTATCTACTCATGTTTTAAGAACATATAGTATTACACAAACTAAGTCCTCTTATGCATATATTCATATTTGGACCAATACAACAATAACAAGCTCCATCTGTTCCTTTACAATGCGATGATGGAAGTGGTACACATACACCTCTTAACTTGTTATCGTGATGAGAATTATCATACTCCATAGTAGACGGTTGTGGGCTTGCATCTCCCAAAATAGTCTTTATTAAGGTAGTTTTAAAAGCTTTATCGCCAATGTTGTTCCCATTTACAACTGCACAAAAGAATTCATAACATAAAATATATACGATTATACCACACATGTGAACAAATTAACACATAAAATATTGATGGAGATAAATGTGAAAATTTTCAATTTATCGTGATATTGTAAAAGATGATCATCAGGTGTTGCAACTATGTCATCAAGCTTTTCGTAATAGATTATTGTTCTAAACTACAATATGTTCATTTAGATACTCTAATCATTTATGATATGAAAAATCAACTCACATATGACGAGAAGGCTAAGAAAAAAGAACGAAAACAAAAATTGCTTATTCCCTAACATCTTCATATGAGAGGACATTTCAAGAATTGTTAAGTGAATATTTATACTAACTTTACTAGAAGTGACTGCAATGTATACTCAACTCAAATAAGCGTTTTGAAAATTATGTAACTAAGTATCCTTCATAATTCAACATATTTATAGTCTAATTAAATTCATATGTTTCTGTTTATTTGATAGTAATTGAGTTTTTTTTTAAATTCATTTTATTTTTGCTTTTAAATTTTAACTTTCTTTTCAAGTAGTTATGCATGTGAAAGGAACAATGTCACTAAGATCCCATTTCATAAGTACTTATTTTGACTTTTTTTTTTGTCATTTTAATATATTAGAGGATAACAATCTATGTAATTATTTAAAATAGGTCACTGTAATAGGTATCTATTTCAAAATGTTATGGACGAGCTCGGAGATGAGATTTCTTGGATTTGTAAAGGTTTATATTTATAAAAGAAAACTTGAATAAAAATATACTAGGTTCGAATGTACAGGCTCTTAAATTTTATTTTAAATAAAAAGCACATAATCAGAAATCTACTACAAATACATTTTTCCTTATCCGAGCTTTTAGATGCATTTTTCATTTCATTCTATGCTTTAATAGCTAAGATATATGTTTTCTGACACTTCTTTAAACAAAATTTTATACTTTCTTGATTATATCCGCCAAATACATGTCCTCAAGTCACCTACACACATGTACATGTTAGCAAAATAATAAATATTAGTAGCTTAATACTTTGTTGTTGCATTGGTTTATGTATTTTTAAATAAAATTTAAATATTGGGAGATACATTTATCATTCATTGTTTTGTATTTTGTTCTTTTTTTTGTATAATATGATAGCTTTCAAATTGTCTTCTTTAGCATCCATATATTTTCTATAGACTATATATCAGTTTT